ATGCATAATATCTATTGATCAGTAGTGATCAAATGCATATGTCTGAGCGCCTCGGCCCTTGTCGAGATAGCTTTAGTAAAATAGCAATATCTGCTCGGCTAAGCAAAATCGCCCGACAAAATATATACTTTTCTGAATGCAGAGATCCTGCTCGATCGATTGTTGTGGAGAAATTAATATGTTACTGGTCAAAGCTGAGAGTACGGTAAGTTTCAATGAGCTAACCCCTATATCATCAGAAAAATAGCTATATCTTCTCGCAGAGGCTGAATTTCACGGCGAGTTTTTCATTTTTAGAAAGCCGAGGGTCTGCTCGATCGAATAATGTACAAAGGTTACTATGTTACTGGGCAAACCTGAGAAGACGGTAGGCTTGAATGTATCAAACCTATATTTCTGTTGTAATGCATAATATCTATCTATCAGTAGTGATCAAATGCATATGTCTGAGGACCTCAGCGCTAGTTGAGATAGGTTTAATAAAATAGCTATATCTCCTCGGCTAAGCAAAGTCGCCCTGATTTCTTGACTCTTTATGTCTTCACTCGATTCGTAAACTTTTTGTTAAGTGCGGGCGTGGTTAACTACCGTAGTTTGTGATCGTGGCTAATGACTGTAGGCATTTAACCTCGGAAATACCGCTCCCTTTGGTTGCCTTGGCTGTGGGCGTGGCTAGTTGCCGCAATCATTTAAGTTCTGAGGTACTACTGTGGAAGCTTACTTTTTCTGATCTGACATAAGTAGCATAAAATTAACATAAAATTATGAAACCGATTCTGATTTTCCAGTTCTTTGTGTCTTTATTGCATTTTCGTTATGTGGTGCTACTGAAAGATCTGAATGGTGTGGAAAAGTTTGAATGCGTGTTCGTTGTCCAGTTTAGCACTTGTTTAAAAACTCATGCAAAGTTTAGTATCTCTGACCTGACACCTATAGCACAAAATTATAAAACCGATTCTGATTTCGCAGCTCTTTGTGCCTTTATCGTATTTTCGTTAGGTGTTACCATTAAAGGGCCTGACTAGAACGGGAAAGTTTGAATGTATGGATGTAGTCCCGACTTTCAAACTTCTGCAAAGCTTTGTGTTTGTGATCTAACAGTTTAACATAAAATTAACATTATGTTTTCGGATAAATATGTGTCACCGTTTCTGCAACTCTTTGTGTCTTTATAGGATTTACGTTATGTGGGATTATCGATAGCTGATGGGTGGTGTGAAATGTTGAAAGTGGGCATGGCGTACTACCGTAATTTGCGGGCGAGGCTGGTTACCGTCGTTAAGCTACCCCAAAAGTACTACTTACGTTTAACGAAGCAAGCGGATATGAATGTATAGTTTTGAAGGGGAAGAACTAATCCGTCGACCCTCCAGGCTCATTGTTGGATGCATAGCGCATTGTTATCATCGACCTTACATGATCAAATGATTTGATCATCGCTTGCGAGTGTGAAGTGCGATTGGTAAGTAGAAGCACTATTCGGTTTTATTGAGAAGATGTTTATTAGGTAATAATGGGAACAATGCAATGGAATATGCAGATCTGCAAAATAGCTACCCTTTCTCTTAGCAGTTATTATTTGCACTTTCACTTTGTTAAAAAATTTTTGGTCATGTTCAACATAGTCTCAAATAGCCAAATGAAAATCACCAAAATTTCAACCATCATTTCCCATCAAGGATGTTCTTTGCTGCATATACCACCGGTCAATTCAGTAATCACTTATTGATTGATTCGCTGGATGCTTACAAATACATGGAGGTCATATCGCAGTAATTGTCCGTGTCGCCTGGAAAACAATTCCGGTTTTCAGACGATCAGTGACAAGTGATGAATGCACTTCGAGGCAATTGCATAAATCCACATGGGTTTTTGATTACGTCCACTTAAGAATTCTAAACATCCGAATTGGTTTACTCCATTATTCAGCTTCATAATAGGCTGAGAAAACCGCATTTTTCTAAGGGATCCATCTCAAAATACAACGAAACAGAGTAAAGATGACAAGAATAAATAAAATAGTCATTAATGCAATCAAGTAAGAAAAGGGAATTTCGGGTACGATTTTGATGGTTCGAATTCAGTTCTCCATCTCAGGTTAATAAAGAGGAAATAATCAATACATTCTTAATAAGGTGATAACAGTTCAATTGAAATTACTCACATGCAATTTTTTGGCATGCAAAGTTGTGAACAGTGAAGAGTTCGTCGCATGATGCTGAGCTCCATTTGCCAGTTTTGAAATCTTCGAAGGCACAGTTTCCATCAGCAACATTCGGCTGGTTTTCTGCCCACGGCTCATAGCCACTTACCTGTGAAAATTTCAAACAACAGTTCAAAACTTGCACCGCGATCAATTTTCATCCGCTGAATATGTAATTGGTGTCAATTACGGGAATGGCGAAGTACGATAATCAAGATCCGCCATATGAGTGAAATTCTTCGCAGAAGTATGCGACCTGTGAGCTAATGAGTGAATTTATTATTTGATTCAGAAAAGTTGTTAATCACCAACAATGAGCAATTGCATAATTCAAGCGCCAATTAAATGCACTGACCGCTTCTCCGCTACTAGTCCAAGTGTACTTGCCATCTACACGAGTTGCTCCGAGCCAAAGGCTTTGCGCATCTTCTCCAGCAGCCAGATCTGTACGAATAATTTATATGAAACATTTTAAACAGTTTTATGCGAACATTTTCAGTCATTTGTCGAGCGATGATCTGCTTATTCGAAATGATCTGCATATTGAATCTGAACAAATCCTCTCGAGCCATTTACAATGTTTTAATTATCGTCAATCTGAATGCAAGTAAATCTTGATAAATGTTGAATCAGAAACAATTTAGTATCAGAAATCAATTCACTAACCCTTCAGGAATGCATCCTTCTTTGCACTGAGTATGTCAGTCATGTTAGCGTTGTAGTCAGCACATCTGTTTTGAGCAATTTGATGTGAAAATGCTTCACTTTGCTGGTAGACGCACTCACCGAATTTCTCGCATTGGTCTGTGAACTGCACATATGGTCGTAGACAGAAGCAGTTAGCTGAAAATTGTGACAGTCATTCCGGGAAAGCGCTCTGAAGAGGAAGTTGTTATGATTTCATTAATTTGATGACTTTGCCATAATCTTTCACGGCTGAACAATTTTTCAATGTTGCAAAAGCTTTGTACATGTTGATAAATCCCAGTGAAATGTTTGCAAATTTCTTATCGCCCACTAATAGAATTTTAAGTGAATAAGTTGATCATTATGAAAGCTGCAGCAGCGAAATGAATGCTGAAACATGAATCATTGAGATGAACTGAGTCATGAAATGAATTCTTCAAGTTATGCATATCAATAACTCGCCATCGCAGAGTTTTTGTACGAAGTTAATGG